TGCTGGGACCGCACACAGATCTCCAGCTCGTCTTGCTTATTCCCCATGCTTCCCGCATTGGTGTATAAGCACTTCAGGGAGGTAACTTCAGGGAGRAGCCTGAACTTTTCCCAGGAGGCATGAGAGAGGACCCTCTATAATCACGCCCTTGCCATACTTCCCCACCACCATAGGCCTGTTGGACGGCCATTGACTTAGGTTGTATGGGATTGATTGCCCAGTCCATATGACACTCCCTTTCCCCCTTCTTGCTCAGTTTAAAGCTCTCCTAACAAGATTGGCAAGTCTTTTGGCAAACACACGCCTGCCCTTCCTGGTGAAGTGGATCCCGTCACCCTCCACTAGCTTGTGGTCGTCAAACAGAGTCCTGTGATCGTAGAATCCAAAACCTTGCTGCCAACACGAACGGCGCAGCCAGTTGTTGATGTCAAATATCCATTTTCTCCTACCTGAATCCATTCCCCTCATTGGGAGGAGGGAGGAGAACACTACCTGGACTCCCATCTCTTTTACTGCCACCCCTAGGGCTCTGTAATCTTTCTTGATTTTGGAGAGTTTCCCCATGGCATCATTAGCACCCACGTGAAACATCAACAGGGGATAATAGTGTTTCGGATCAACTGGGGGAGCCTCTTTGTAACATCCCTTATTCGAGTCCCCAGCAAGCAGCAGACCTCCCTGGATAAGGGGTCAGGTCTGTAGCTCAGTGCCTCCGTGCCCTGCAGCAGGGAGTCACCCATAACAATCACCCACCGCTTCTTCCGAGTGCTCCTTTTTTCCTCAGGGGTAGCAGCCTCAGGGTGTGGAGCTGACCGCCTCTCTGCAGACAGCCCCCTAGATGGGCCTTGGTTCATCTCCTCATCTGACTGCTCCCCAAGGTCCAGGGCCTCAGAATTGTAGGATGTGGTCAGTGGCAGAGGGGAGGTGGGCTGGGGAAGGGTTGTCCTACCACCCCGAACAGGGACCCTTTTCCATTGGGAGGTGGGCTGGGGAAGGGTTGTCCTACCACCCCGAACAGGGACCCTTTTCCATTGTTTTTCGTCCTTGGATACCGTTAATTCTCTTCCCTCCGCCCTGTGGCAAGAGGGTGCTGGCTTTCCAGATTGAACCAGGGGATTCTCTGGGTGCCTTTCCTGGGAGGACTGCAGAACGCAGCTCCACCAGTCTATTTCTCTTTTGCATTCCCTGATGGCCCTGAGCCTTTCCACCTCCTCCTTCAGCTCCACCACCAGGCTAAGCAGGTCCTCCACCTGCTCACACCTAAGGCAGGCAGCGTTTTCACCACTCCCTGGGACCAAGGAGAGGCTCAGGCATTCCTCACAGCTCGAGACCTGCACTGCCGCATGCTTCTGTGGCGGTTCAGTCTGCGTCGCCAGAGTCTTCCTAGCGCAAGCTCTCTGCCAAGTAGAGACCACGGTTTCCCCTGGTCTCCTGCTGGTGGAAGAGACTGTGGACAGAATTCTTTTGCTCTCCTGGGAGGGGACTCCCTGCCTGCCCTGCCCTGCCCTGCCCTGCCTGTGCGAACTCCGGTGCACCACTCCTGGTCACTTGTGCTCCCTGGGGGAGGGTTTTGACTTCCCGCCTGTCCTGCCGGCTCTGCCCCCGCTGAGTCAGAGCTGCCTCTGGCATGGGGCTCCACACTGCCCACCCAGGGATCGACACCAGGGCTGCCTCGTGCTCCTCCCTGCCTGCGCTTTCTTGCTCGGTGGCTTTTGGCCACAGTGGTTTGCCTCTAGACAATGAGCTCTGGCACGAGCGTCTGCACCAGAGCTCTTCCCTTTGAGATCTCATCGAACTCCATCATTGGAACCTCGTCGTTGACATCACGGACTTTGCCTACAGTCAAAGTCAAAGAGCATCAATAGTTTCTATGGAAATATTTCATGCTTTACTTTTGTTTTTTCACAGTTGAGAAAAATATCCCATGTCTGCTTTAAACTAATTCCCTAAGGAAAGCAGTTGGGAAAAGCTSTTGCTTTGGGGAAGTTGGGGAAAGCTGTTGCTGCCTTCAGAGGAACAGGGAAGCTTCTAAGAGGAGTGGTGGAAGCCCCAGGTGGCTGCTGAGAGAAATGGCAGGTTGGGGAGGGGAGYGAACAGTGTCCATACAGGGCCTGAGCTCTGGGACCTGCTGTTCCTGCATGTCCAGACTGCACTGGRAGTCACTATGGGTTGATGTGGATTGGATTCACTTAGTCTGAAAGCTGAACATTAGTAATAATAATAAAACCCATTAAAGGTAGAGGTTCTTGTATGATATTGATGTCTCCACCTTTCAGCTGCACTCCTGAAAGCTCTCCAATTAGCCATGCAAKCCTTGATGAAAATTACASGRAGAGAYARKGWTGGTCAGWGCTTTTTGCCTTTTAACGAGCCCCATGGTGTATTTGGTGATGAGCCCATGAACGTCAGTTCCTGAGAGGAGACTGAACAAAATGTTTGAGAATTCAAACTTCAAAACAACCTTCAAAGTTCTGTAGAGCCTTAATGGGTCCCAC